GCCTGCTGTAGGACTACAGGGTGACGCACACCTGCGCCTGCTGTAGGACTACAGGGTGACGCACACCTGCGCCTGCTGTAGGACTACAGGGTGACACTCGTGCGTGCTGTAGGACTACAGGGTGACACATACTCGTGCCTGCTGTAGGATGACGGGGTGACACTGTGTTAGCAGGTGTAAAGTGGGCACTGTGTGGACTGCAGGTTTTAAAGATTAACAGCCTCTGCCATATTTTTCTGTACCAAAATTCCGTTTTAACATCTAAAATTCAGATAACACGTGTGGTTGAAAACTGGCTTTGACGTCTAACGTCTATTTTCTTGAACACAAAGCGTTTCTTCACTGCAGCATGGATAACGGCAAATTATAATAAAAGGTAACCGACAAACAGACGAACAAACACTATGCCTAAGGGGACAGGTGGCACAGAATGGATCAAAACCATTTTATTCCAAGGTTACAATCGGTAACACGATGCATTGGTATATTATTTGCTTTGTTAAACTTTATGAATCCTTATAAAAAATAAAAATATTGATGATCAAAAATACTATCACGCATATGTATCCAACTGCTAAAGTCATTTTATGAATCGAAATCGCTTCTGAGGCATTCAGACTCGGCGCTCTTGATCAGACCAATCAAGAGCGCGGCTGAGACGGAGGCGTGGCTTGTGTGTGACGTATCATTCACTGGGTGTTACGTCAAGGGCGAAGTCTGTGGGAAACGTCATCCAGGGCAGCACGATATAAACCTGCGTCGCGAGCTGTCCGGTCTTTCTGTGAAGTGCTCAGCGCGAGATGGAGCTGTTACAGGCGGCAACTAGGCTGTTGAGTAGCAGAAATGAGAACTATTTCTGCCCTATACGCCTTTTCCCCGTTTGGATAGAGGCTTTTTTAGTATCTCCTTTTGTATACTGTGGAAAATAGGTTTAATTTTCTATCCTATTTTTTTAAAATGTGATTGCTCATGAAGCGTGAGAGACCGCGTGTCTTGAACTACATCTGTCTCAAATCTGCTGCAGACCAAGGTACATTTTCCTTCTTGATTGTCCTTTTGTATGCATTAAGTTCCTGTGTTTAAGAGACTGGAGCTGCGTGTATTTTAAGCCTGTGCGTGCCGTTGCTTAACTGCAGCCCCGGTTATTTTAAACCGTGAGTCCCACAGGTCTGCTGTAAGGGCTTTCAGCGTTAACCTGAACTGCTCTTTCTTGCAGGCTGCGGGTGGAGGCCCGGAGGGTGGACCCGGACTGCATCGCCACAGGCGCGGAGGTGAGTGCGGGCCCTCAGCCGACCAAGGCCGCCTCCTCCTTCCGGGACAATCCCTGCGGGCACAGCACGTTAATACAAGCGGGGCTGCCTTGTTCGAATCCCTCTGCTTGCGGGCGCGGCTGCACGCTACTGTGATGAAAACCTTGTGTAGGAAGTGCCGTCCGATGCGAGAACTGACGATGGCTTGTAACAATTTCTGAGCAGCGTGCCGTGCCGTTCCTGTGTCCCGCATGGGCCTTCCGCTCGAGCAATGTTGAGTGTGACGCGGATCTGATTTTGCTTTTCTAGGTCTGGAGGTCCAGGGCGCACGTGTGCAGGCCTGCGTTGCTCCTGGGGCGCTTGAGGTGAGTAGAGGGCATTGGAGCTTCGCGGGGTGGGGTTTCCCCGAGGGAATTCTAGGGCATTTGCTGCCGAAAAGATCAACCCCCCCCTCCCCCCTCCTACCTCCCAAGCGGATAACCCGTTTAGCCTGGTACCCCTTGGGTTTCGCATGTGCAGAGTGATGAAACTTGAACTGAAACAGCTGGAATTACCGGCAGATTTCACCGTGGTGAGAAAAGGTTTTCTGAATGCAACTGGTGCGGTCTAGCAAGTAGTGCTCTAGTATCAATTTAGATCGAAATTGTGCCTCAATGTTTTTTTTTTCTCCCCTCCTTTTTCAGAGAATTTTCTGGAGCGGAGCTCCTCTTGGATGAGGTGAGTTGTTGTTTTTTTTTTTCCCATCCCTTTTAGTTTTAGGCAGGGCGACTGTAGGCTTGGCTTGTCCAGTCGGCAGTGTTCTATGATGACACCTAAACTGAAAACAAGCTGGAATTACCGGCAGACTGTTCAGTGGTGACCATCGGTTTTCTGAGGGCGCTGCGCTCCAGGCCTGGGGCTGTGTTCTCTGTGGGGGGGCTGGAGTCTCATGTACCTGCATTGCCTTTCCAGGTGGCCGAGCAGCTTGTGTGGGTCTGACCTGATGCCCGCCCGGAGAGTCTGAGCTGTGACGGTGTGGAGCTGCTTGGAGAAAGCTGACCTCTGAAATGCTACATGTAAATGTCTGTGGCTTAGTAAACTGTCACACAGAAGGCTGTGACAGTTACTGCTTCATAAGGTTAGAATTCTGGATGTCACTTGTGCAACTGAACTAAATAAAAACTTTAAGTACAAATTAATGGTGTTGGTTATTTTAATGCTCAGTCTAGGAGTGGTGGGAGTGCAGAGACTGCTTAGAGGAGTACTTGTGGGCTTCCCAGCAGCAAGGCACTTGTGTTCCTCCCTGTTCAGTTTGAAGATCTACATGTCCACACAGCCAGAGGGGTGGATAATTTTTCTTGGGGGAGGGGGGGGGCTTGATTTGCATGACTGAATAGAATTACATCCTATAACATGAGGCTGGAGGGGGGGTGGAAGGGGAACAATGCATCTATTGTAGTAATAAACCCCTTTCATAGCACTTTTAAAGGTGGCTTCTTGAAGTACTTTATAGGGCAACAATAGAGCTTGTGTTCAGGCAGCCTTAACAAAACCACTTGGAGCACATGGCTGTCTTTTTATTAGAGGTGTTCTCAATCACTTGTGGTGAGACTGGGCCATGCTAAAAAGTTTCCTGTGGATTTTGCACAGACAGTATGTCATGGGCACAAGTGCATATACTCTACACTCAGCCATAATGAGTGCTATTCCTGATTTGGAACAAGGTCAAGAAAATAAAGCCTCGGGTTGGAATGAAATGCTTAAAAAGCAGGCTTGGGCTTTCGTTACTGAAGCAAAGGGAGAAAGTGCCCTGGCTTTTAGTGTCTCTGTATGGCCCTGGAGATTGAACCCCATGCAGGGAAGCCTCTCATTCTAAGGAAGGGTGAAGTGGTCAGTGACTGCACTCTGCCCTGCTACTGTGAAAGGGAGCTGGGGAAACTCTGGGTCAAGTCTATGACAATGGACAAGTGTCTCTGCTCAACATCGGTGGCTAACAGTGGTGAGGTTTAAAATGTACATACACTGCTTACCGCAGAGGCGCTAGAGGGGATCCAAGTGTCACCTGCAGAAGCCTCAACAGCAGAAACTTTCTTCCTTTTCAGAGTGGAATTAACCTCTTATTCCTTCACTGTCTCTACGGCTCTGAAGCAGCCTGAATAGAGGGCTGATTATGGCACCTGGAGCTCAGATTGCATTTAAAATGATCAATAAGAGTTTTAAAGACCCCCCCCTCCTGGTCAGTCTGCTGGGTCTCGGCTGGGGGCTGGAGTTCAGCGGCACACTGCACACCAGCAAGGAAAGGGGTTTGCAAAATGCAAGCATATATGCGTTATTATAATTTTAACGACTTCCCAGAAAGGCTCATTGGTCAAATGAGGCGCCAAATACCCACTCTGAGCTCGGCGCGGCGCCCAGTGACAGAGCATTAAGTCCAGGGTCTGTGCAACGGCGGCGCTCACAGGTCAGCAGGAAGTGCAACTCCAGCAGGCTCAGGCACCTGCACTGGGAATTCTGCTGCTCCCCTTTAAAATACAGAAGCATGATTCACAGCCGTTGAAAAATAAGTCTGGTTAAAATGAGCATTAATACGCTGCTCATCTAGACGGTGATCATAGATATTCGGTCTTGTAGAGAGAGACAGAGTGCGGGGTAGGGTGACGTAACAAGGGTCCTCGATTTAAAAAAATATATATATCCTGAACCGGAGAAGATAAATGCAGGCAGACACGGAATCAGACCCATGATAAAATATAGAAACTATTAAACGGCAGAGTCTTACAGACTTAGCCCCGGGAAAATAAAAACAGAAACCGAGACAGCTACTCCCTGGTGCGCTTTATCCCCGTCAAAGCGACCGAAATTCAAATCTCCCGCCACTGAATCCAGGCCGAATTAACACCCTGAACTGAAACTTTATTTTTTTTTTTAATAATGTGGCCTTGTCAGAGGTCGGCACACCTGGAGGACAGCAAGTTTAATTCCGTGATAAAGCGGAGGCTGGACACGCGGAGCGCGGCGCTGCGGCCCCGGCTTCCTGTTTCCGGGAGCCGCGCGGACGCGCCGCCCTGAGCCGAGAGACCGGGCGACGGTGTTTGTAACCGGGGTCGTTTTAACGAAATATCGCCTCGCCATGGATACGGGTAGGGTAGTGTTTCTAGTCTCGTTTCACCTTTTCAGCCACCAGCTTGACGGGACTGTTGTTTTGTTCGCTTTGTTAGTTTTTGAGGCGCCGATACCTAAATCCCGAACTTTCTTTGCGCCGGGTTTCAAATCACGGTAACGATTACATAGGTTTATATCGATGGACCCGTTACCCGTGTTTTCCTTGTGCGGTAGGAGACCTACTGGTGGCGCTGGTAGAAAAGGTCCAGCTGGTATCTACTACTGACCAGCTTGTTCCAGTTCAGAGCGTTTCGAAACCAGAACAGAGTGTTTTTCCAGCACCCGTTTTAAAGAGACAGCTCGCATTGTACTGGCGATCGCTCGATTCCCAGTAGAAGCTGAGTGGTGAGCAGTTTGAACCACTTCGACCCAGTAAATAAATGCCAGTTCAGCGCCTTTGAAGCCAGTTGCTAATTTCTACTGGGGCTAACTGGAATTTTCCACCAGAATCCTCCGTTTCAGGCGTTTTGCCAGCAATGCAGCAGCTGTTAAAGAGCTATTATCCTGTAAGATGAGCCGGTTTCGTCCAACGGGAATGTAGTTTGGAAGTTAAGGGCAGTGTTGAGTGCTCGGTCAGCTTTTATAAGCGGTTTATGTTTGCTTTCATCTGTTGAAATCTATACATGTCATACATTCTTCCCGATTCTGAGCTGTGATTTTTTTGTCATATGTATTTTTTATATAGCAAGTTTGTAAATTATTCTTAGACTAACGTAAGCTTTGGATAATAAGCATCCAGATAGTTCCTCTGACAAAGGTTATGTCCGCTCGTCAGTGTGCCTGTGTAGTTGCACCAGATCGAGGGAACCCGGTAAAGATCGCCTGTGAGTTTATTCATTTCGTTTCTGAAAACTGAAAGATGCCAACCGTAAAGTCTAGGTCTTTAAAATGGGAGAGATTTTCACATGGTGAACTAGTAATGAAGGCTAATCTTTTGTGTGTTAAAATGATATCAAGTGTAATTTTAAAATGTCTTTTGTAGAGAAAGCTATTAAGAAGATGCCAGCATGTGTTGGCACCAGGCCCATGTTCTTTTTTAGATTTACACTCAGCCCTGTAACCCAAATAAACTGCAACCCATAAAACTGCAACAAGAATCACTTTCTAAACGGCTGCAGTTTTAACCCTACCTTCCATCTACTTTGCCTCAATTTTTGACTACTTGGTTACTTCTGGTAATGTTCTCTGGGGTAAAAAATGCCTCTACAGCAGGTCTTCAGTACATGGTGTCCTTTGGATTATTATAGCTGTAATGACATCAGTTAAGCAATGAGGACAAAGTTTAATGCAGAGCCCTCCCAGAGTAGGAGCTGAGAACCTGGCTTTTGGCTCTGTGTCTAAGGATCTGCGCCTGTGGCTGGAAGGTTGCCGGTTCAAATCCCGCAGCCGGCAGAGGAATCCTACTCCGTTGGGCCCCTGAGCAAGGCCTTTAACCCCAACTGCTCCAGGGGCGCTGTACAATGGCTGACCCTGCGCTCTGACCCCATGCTCTCTCCCTGTCTGTGTGTCTCATGGAGAGCAAGCTGGGGTGTGCGAAAAGACACATTCCTAATGCAAGAAATTGTGAAGGGTTAATTAAGTGATGTGATGATGTGAACCTGCCTCTAGTTTTCCCTCAAGGGGCATGCCGTGCCCCTCCTGTGTCTGTGCCCGCAGGCCTGAGCACCGAGAAGATCGCCTCCTTCAGCAAGCGCCTGAAGGCAGAGCCCCGCTTCCTGCTGGCCCAGAACGTGTCGACCTGCAGTGACCCGCTGGAGGTGTGTCTCCACCGGCAGACCGTGCAGGACACCGTCCACGTCTTCCAGCACAGCATCCCCACGGAGGGCAAGCCAGTCACCAACCAGAAGAACTCAGGTACGCTGACCAGCCCCCTGGCTTGCCAAAGCATAGCAGGCCCATCAGGGCACAAAACAGTTACAGATGAGATGAAACAACTAGGCCAGTCCGCTGTAGACCGTCTAGTAGTTAGTAGCTTAATGATCTAGTGATCTCATCCAGCTGTTTCTTGAAAGAAGCCAACAACATGACTGGACTTGTTCCACACTCCTACACCCTTTGCGTAGAGAAGCATCTCATATTTTGGGTTTGAAGTGCCCTTCTGTGTCGCTTCCACGAAGTCTTCTAGACTGCGTTGCATGGTTTATTCTAAAGGACTCCACTGGGCTGATCTTGTTGGTGCCTTTGAGGACTTTGAATACTTGTGTCACCTCCCCTTGTACTCTTCTCTGTACAAGACTAAAAAGGTCCCACACCGACAGGGTGAAGGAGCTAAACATTAAGCCCCACGATCTGGTTGCTCTTCTCTGGAGTCAAGTCTTGGTGAAAGGACTCTGTCACATCGCTGGAGCTCAGCACAGCCTGGCAGAAGGACATAGTCCAGTCCATTAGGCCCACACTGACCTGTCAGACTGGGCATGAGCACCACCCAACGTCCCACGTGCTTCAGGGAGCTGAAGCCCCCCACAGACAGCAGCTTTTTTCATTCAGCCTTTAAAGACTCGGTCACTTTCCACATTGAGTGTAAAAACTTCCCAAATGAACATCACACAGCAGACTCTACTTTGCGGATTTGTTACACTCGTGTGTACAGAAGTGTAGTGTGAAATGTTTTTTTTTTTTTAACCTCAGGGAGGTGCTGGATCTTTTCCTGCCTCAATGTGATGCGTCTTCCATTCATGAAGAAGTTCAACATCGAAGAGTTCGAGTTCAGTCAGTCCTACCTGTTCTTCTGGGACAAGGTAAAGGAGATCCTAGTGTTCATAGGATCCAGAAGTGGCCTCTCTTTCCTCTGTCTGCCACTGCTTTTCCTTTCCCTGTCAGACTTGTTCTCTACCTGAGCTCCTCCAGGGTGTTCAGCTCTGCTCCCAGGGGCCACAGGACCCTCTGGTTTCATGCCAAAACATGTACCAGCTTAACTGGTCTGTTAATTGGGATGATTGAACAAATCAAACACTTTTTTTCAGATAAATCTTTAAGGAAGAGATCATTTAAACATCAGCATCATCACTGTAAAACAACCTGCCCTTGAGGACCAGGGCTTGTGTCCTGCAGGGCCCATTCTGGTCCGCTGTGTCCCGCTGGGCCTGGTCCGGTCCGGTCTGGTCCGCCGCGTCTCGCCGGTCTGGTCCGGTCCGGTCTGGTCCGCCGCGTCTCACCGGACCGGTCTAGTCTGGTCCGCTGTGTCCACCACTAACGCGCTGTCCTGTCTCGCTGTCCCTCAGGTGGAGCGCTGCTACTACTTCCTCAAGGTGTTTGTGGAGACGGCCCAGCGGAACGAGCCGGTGGACGGGCGGCTGGTCCAGTTCCTGCTGTCCAACCCCACCAACGACGGGGGGCAGTGGGACATGCTGGTCAACCTCATCGGTGAGCAGACAGGCCTGGTGCTGCCTCTGCTGTCACAGTTATTCTGAAGTGACAATGAAGCAGCTGCCCCTCTTCTCCCGTAACTGTTTTTAAATTCAATTCCATTCAATTCAACTTCATTGTCATTAAACTTACACAGGTGCATAGTATAATGAAAAGTGTTTCTCATTAGTCACTCAGGTGCAGTATATAAATAGAACAGCAGACAAGACAATAGACAGTAACACAATAGCAATAACAGTAACGCAATAACATAACATAAATAACATGTAATCAAGTAATCAAAACTGTGCAAAATTCCGCAAACCGAGAAAATATAACAGGACAAAAACAGTGCAAGGTAATTCTTGGAACAGTGTAAAAAATAGTATGGTTAAAAGTAGTATGGTTAATTAATAAATATTAAATATTATTATGCCTGTTACAGTTTTACTGGGCTATCGAGGGGACAGTACAATTTCGGCTTACATGTGTGTGTGGTGGGCTCTGAACCCATTTTCTGGTAAAAGTTCTCTACAGCGGACTTTACGTGATAGGTCAGGTTCTGACATAGCGTGTATAATCAGAGCGACACCCTTTGACCATCCTATTCCTCTGCCCTAGACAAGTTAAATCAATCTGAAGTGTATTAGTATGTGTAGTTCAGGTGGGGAGCTGCGTCAGCATGCGCAGGCTGCAAAGGAACAAGTAACAGGTTTATTCCATGCTGAAAAAATGAAGAAAGAGAACACAACATTTCGGCCGTGGAGCCTTCTTCAGGTGTGAGAGAGACAGGGCGGTAGGCAAAGGTAAAGTAGCGGGAGAACAAAGGCTGGGAGGGAGGAGGAGTGAGAGGCGGGAGCAGGGGACAGACAGAGAGGCCAATCAAGAGGTGTGAAGTCAGAATGGGTGGTTTTTGGTTTCGGTGGTCTTTCTGATGTATGAGTTCGGGAAACCGTCTTTGAGAAAACAGACGGAGAGATTAGAGTGGTCGTGGCTGTCAGAGGTGAAATGAGAAACAATGGGCTTGGAGAGATCTTTAATCTTCACAGCCCTGACGTGTTCTCTGAAGTGGTCTCCGAGTCTCCTTCCTGTTTCTCCAATGTAGATGGCTGGGCATTTACTGCAAGAGATACAGTAAATAAGGTTGTTGGAGGTACAAGATGCCATCTGGGCGATCCGGAATTGTCCTGAGGGGTCTTGAATGAGTGTGGTGGTGGCTGTGTACTTGCAGGTGATACAGCAAGCTCTGGAAAGTGCCTGGTGTGGATTGTTGTTGAGGGTGGTCGAGGGAGCTGCGAACAAGGAGGTTACGCAGATTAGGTGGTCGGTGATAGTATGTGTATGCATGTAATTTAAAGTATTGTGAAAACAGTAATACAGCAAATACAGTACTGGGCAGTAAACTAAACTAGATCAAATAAAATGTAATAAAATGCAGGGAACACAGCAAATGAATAGCCTTCACTCGGTCTCCGATTGCATGAATCGAAGATTCGTTCTTGGCATACATACCCGCAGAGCTGGTCACTGTCATCCCACCCCTTAACTTCTTTAAAATCTGGATTTTAAACTCCAAATCAGGCACTTTTCTTGACTCGCCCTTCCCCATCATACTTGTTTGCAGTTTACGAGCCATATTGAGGGTGATAAAAAAAAAAAAAGCACAGGCCAATACCCAAAGTATAGCTAAGGTGTGTAGGCTGTGCCAGAATTGAATTTGTGAAATTTCCCTTGGTTTTATTAATTAATACACAAATGAACGTAAAAATAGTTTGCAAAATGTATTTTGCTTGAAATATCGGAGTTGAATAGAAATCATATTTTTCTGAAAGGAAAGAACCCCGTTACTGCAGTGGACTGTCTGATGGTGCCCGTTGTTTTCCAGAAAAATACGGTGTGATTCCGAAAAAGTGCTTTCCAGAGTCCCACAGCTCCGAGGCTTCCAGAAGAATGAATGACATCCTGAATCACAAGGTGAGGAAGGTTGTTTCGGGAGGGCAGCTGCAGTGTAGTCTCCCACTTGGGCAAGGCGCATGTCCTTCCCGAGGTCATTTATTCCCCAGTTGAATTTTTAGCGCTGGAATTGATCTGCTGTGTAAAATAGAACCAGACGGTTCATCTCCATTGAGCTCATTGTTAACTTTCAGTCAGAATTGGCTGGAAGGTTGCTGGTTCAAATCCCGCGGCCGGCAGAGGAATCCTACTCTGTTGGGCCCCTGAGCAAGGCCCTTCACCCCAGATGCTCCAGGGGCGCTGTATAAATTCCAGAAGTCCAGGTTGTCTTAAACAGTCCAAGTCCATTCTCAAGGACCCGAGTCATCCCAGTCACAAACCGTTTTCTCTCCTACCGTCCAGTAAACGGTATCGAAGCATTCGGTCCAAGTCCAACAGACTACAGAACAGCTTCTACCTCCAGGCAATAAGACTGCTAAACAGCCAACCTGCAGCTCCTTTAGCAAATCACCCCTAATGGCTACATGGACACACAGTTTTCACTGTACTGTGCACACTGCACTACTTGGACATAATGTATAGCACACACCCTGGACACATAGCAGCTCTATTTATATTGAGTTTTGTCTGAGTTTATTTTCTTCAATTTCTATTACATTATTATGTAGCCTTATTTTCTAACCTTAATTCTGTGATTTTGAACCTTAATTCACCCCGGTCAGCTCGTAGAAAAGACATTTCATTGCCAGCAACTACTTACTGCTGCACACTGTATTGTTGGGCATTTCGTAAATAAACTTTGATCGATTGAAATGGCTGACCCTGCGCTCTGACCCCAAGCTTCTCTCTCCCCATCCATGTGTCTCATGGAGAGCAAGCTTTTCGAGAGTAAGTGAAAAGACAAATTCCTAATCCAAGAAATTGTATATGGCCAATAAAGCGATCTTATCTTAGAATTGGAAATTTGCGAAAACTTCTCTCATCAGCCCTCGTGTGTATTTATGTGGGTTCTGGGTTGTTTTTTTTTTTTGGGTGCTCGCATCCAGTCCATCCCCGTTCATTTTCCGCATCCTGCAAGATGACGCTGATCTTCCAGTGATACTTCAGGCGTTGCTTTTCTGCCTTTGATCTGCAAGGCCCGAGCAGTGTGTATTTGTAATCGCTGACTGCAGAAACATGTCGTTAAATGTCGCGCATTTAACGAGCTTGAGGGCTCATTCACTTTGCTCCCCAGAACACGAGGCAGTTTGTTCACATCCGCTTCGCCTGATCTTCTCCCTTTTCTGTGCCTCAGATGAGGGAGTACTGCCTCCGGCTGAGAAACATGGTTGCCAGCGATTCCACGAAGGAGGAGCTGTCCAAGGCCATGGACAGCATGATTGAGGAGGTAACCTGCTGTGGGGGGCGGAAGAGCTGCTCTTCCATGACAGAAAAGCAGATCAGACTCCCTTGGCAGAGCAGAGTTGTTCCTTTCAAGCTTCAAGGGCTACATGGTCATGGTCTTGTCTGTGGACAAAATTCTGGTTCATATTTTGTTCATGTTTATGTCCATCATTGGGTGACTCAAAATTGGGCAGCAACACCAGCTGTTACCAGCTTGTGGTCTGCTGGTGTCAGGACTCGGAAGCTCTGCAAGGCTGGGCCTGGTCAGTACTGGGGTGGGCGATCTCTCAGGAAAGCCAGGGTACTGCTGGCAGTGCCGCAGTTGCAGCAGTGAGGGGCTTCTTCCCTGGATCAGAATTTCCAAGCCAGTGCCCGAATAGGATGACTGGGGACACTGCTGTAGGAGAAGAGTCATTAGACGTGACCAAGCTCACTACTTGGTCATTGGAGGTCAACACATGCAGTAGAGTTCCTGGCATTGGCTCCTGATGCAGTCTGAAAGGGATCACGCTGTGAGTGCCTTGGAAGTCGGACTGTTTATTGCTTCGTTTGACCCGACCCGTTCCTTTCTTATGACTCAACCGAACTGCTGACCCCGATTTCAGATCTTAGCAGAAAAATTCATTCATGAATTGTCAGTCATCTAGTTCTGTTTGAGCCAGGAATCAGGATAGATTAGAGCCATTTGTTTTTCTCCTTAGCTCTCAGCTCACTGCTCCGAGTGTAGCCCTGATGTTGGCTTCAAACGTTCTTGGCGATAAACTACATTACTTCTCCACAAGGAGTGACCACAAGGTGGAGCTGTATGATCACAGGGACTTGTACTACGGAGAAGGTGATGAGGCTACTCCAAAGTTCAGATCTGATGAAGAGCTGACATTTTTAAGCATTCAGTGTTTTATATGTTATAGTATTAAAATATATACGGTGCTGTCAGTGGGGTAGAGCCTCTCCTCCAGTCGGTGTTGAACCTCCTTCCCCGTGTCTGTGTAGACAGTGACATTTCAGAATCCACATGGCTAGGAAGGCCCTGACCAGGGAAACGAAAAACAGTTCAAACTGTGGATCCTGCCAGGATTTGTTCCGAGTAATAGTTTGGCTTCACCCGACAAGAGAGGAAAAGAGAGAGAGAGGAGATTGATCATTTTTGTATCTCTTTCATAGCAGTTTGAATAATGGAAGCAGTCAGGTTTGGCACACATATTCCCTGGCCCTAGATGAGCTCTATAGCCCTGACATGACTGCTTTGAATCAGGGCTGCCACAAGCTGGCTGTGAGCAGCTTTCTGCAGGCAGAGGTGCAGAATTAGCTGAGCACCAGTGGGATTAGTGGGGTTGCAGGGCCCGGAATCGCCTGGGCTATAAGGTATATATGTCTTCGACTTGCTGCACAGCGATGCCCTTTGGGATGGGCGCTGCTTCTCTTTACTGGATGTGTAAAGGGCTGGCGAGGCACCATGGGATTCGCAGTGGGAAGACAGCCCTGACGTCATTCTGTGCATCTGCAACAGAGGAATGCACGGGATCCGGAACAGCCTCTTCAATTGGTGGGGCTTAAAACAAATCCCAGCCATTACGAAATGGAAAAACATCTTCAGTCTATTCCACAGGCGATTTGGGAGGTACAATGGTTAGTTAAACGGAGTCTTTGCTTAGGAAAACCAGAGCATAGACTCTGTTCAACCAATCGGTTTAAATCCCAATGATCCAAATCCGAGTAGCCGCAGCAGGTGTTCAGCTCTGTAACTTTAAGTTTCCTCGAGTTTCGCCCCCGCTGGCAGCAGGCCTTTGTTTACCCACCTGTGATTGGTGTTGTCCTCTTCTGTACAGACACCTTTCGCCGTCGAGAAATTGGAACTGTACCTTGTTTATGTTTAATCATAAGCCGAGTAAACACGGCCTCAAGGCAACTGCCTTCAATCTTTCTGCTTTGTTTGCACATCAGTAAAGGAGTGCAGCCTGGGCCTCTGACGGTGCGTTCTGCAAACAGGGCGCGATCTTGCCACAGTCCCTCAGTTGTGTGAACCCTGAACGCTTGTCTGACACGCTGCCAGAAAGTGGAACAAAGAATCTGAACTCTGGGAGCAAGAACCTGCCCTGCCGGGTGAAAAATATGCATCATCTCCTGGAGAATCGGCGACATCACTGTATATAGATCAGCACGTGTCTGTGAATGTCTGACACACTGCGCCCACAGATGCTACAGCTCAGCCCCTTGCCCCCTTCCCCCACTGCCTCTGGGTATCGTAAATGTGTAACATAAAGAGATCAAAGCAGCCATGGGCGCCACTCGTCCTCCAGGGCAGGAGTCCTGCAGGCTTTACCAGCAACTGATGAAGACCTGAAAGCACCGGTGCTTTGACGTCTTGGCTCACTAATCACTTTAGTTAACTAAGATCAGAGGTGGAGTGATGCAGTCGTGCAGCCCAGAAGGACTGGCATTGCCCTTCCTTTGATTAAAGGGATTGCTTTGATGTCACCCCTGTGAGCCGTTCCTGCCCCCGGTGCCCCAGTGACAGCAATCCGGGTAGTTTCGCTGGCCGCAGTGAGTGTTAATGCAGATCCGCAGAAACCCCATCTGTGCTTTCAAGTTTTCAGTGGGTCTGCGCCGAAGGGATTTATTTCACACTCAACGTATACGTGTGTGCGCAGATTTTTCTTTTCCATTGTGGGTAATGAAATATCATCTGCTTTTTGTTTGTTAAACAGGAAATGCCAGTCAAGGTTATTTTTTAAGAACGAGTCCCAAGTGCATGTTGTATTAATGAGGTTGTCTCTTCTGCACTGTTTTATGCAAACTGGCTTTGAGAAGGCTGGGTGAAATGGAGAACATATTGTTAAAGAAATGTGCCGCTTTGTTGGTAATGCATGTTTGTTTTTATAAAGAATTTAGTTTATTTTACGCTCTCATGAAGCATGCTCAGTACATACAAAAAATTACTCGCACCAGGTTTGCTGTTGACAGGTGCCCCAGGGCTTTAGTGACGAGAGGTAAGGAGAGGCTGCTGTCCAGGACGTCCCAGGACGTGAGCTCAGACAGCACTTGCCCCGCAGGTGCAAGTAGATCTCCAAGCTCCTGAGCTGGATGTACGTTTTAGAAATGTTTAGGAGGGCTGTCTTCATTTCGTGCATGGTGCATGAGGTTTTGGTACAAATCCAGGTTTTTCCAGTTCGGGGGGTAGGATGGGGAGAGGCGGAAGTGAGATGTTGACATTCTCTGGTTTAATTATAATGAGAAGCAGTCTCCCCTCCAGCGTTCCAGACCCGCACACTTCCGATCCGCAGCTGACAGGATTGTATACGAGTCCAGCGTTTTGCAAAAGACATACGTTACTGTCTTGAAAAGTAAAATAATTGCATGTTCTCACTGAGCGCTGGTTTTGAGATGTGGCATGGATGCTGATGCATAGCGGAATTTAATTAGCAGCTTAATCAGCAGCACCTGTTCGTAACGAGACCCATCCTAGACGGCAGGAGAAGGAAGGCAGCTGGTCACGCTCGCCGTAAGGCCAGGCCTGGTGTGGGTGTGCGTGCGCTGGGGTCCCCTGCGCGTCTTCTGTGCCGCTGAGCTGGGCGAGGGGCAGTGCCCCGCGCCAGCCTGTCCGCGGGCCGGCCGTGCTTTCCCAGGCACGGGCGACTGTGACCATCCTTCTCCCTGCGTGGGGACGATGGATGAGGCAAGCGTCTTCTCTGACCCAGCTGTGCACCAAACACAGCTGAGGCCTGTCCCCCAGGCTTCTTAATGACAAGGAATGAGGAACATTCTTATTTTTAAGATCCATTCTCCCGATCAGGAACCCCTTTTTTTCTTACGGATAAGTACTGTGGCATTTGGTCCTAAGGCTGTTTTAAGGATCCCAGTTGGCTGTGGTCCTGTGGGCTTGTTCCAATGTCATGTTCTTGATCTGCAGCCTCTTGCGGTAAAGACTAATCTGAACTATGATAGCAGTGTGTAAAATCTTAAGGTAATTTCTGTATTACACTGCATTTTTAAAAAGCAACATCATCGTGTAGGAATGAATCATAAATATCGCTCCCATAGGGACAGTAAGGTGATAAATATCCTCAGCATGGAAATTAATTTGGTTAGTTGTGCTAGTTGGGATTTTACCACAGATCAGGTTTTGAGGAGCTCTTCCTGTGTTGCAGCTCTTTGCGTGCCAGCCTGCCAATACACAGGAAATAAAATGTTCTATTTTCCCAGTTAGGCAGGAGCATCCTGGGCCGTCTGTCCTGGCGTGACGGAGAGAGGGGACCTTCCATGTAGCTTAACTGCACTGGGAGCCCCTTCCGGCTGCATCAGGCCAGACCACCTCAGGGCTGCCTGGGAAACAGAAGTGGAAACAGGGTGCTTGTCCAACCTGTTCCTTACCTCCAGAGGGCTTTTAAAGAGGACCGTTAACTACAGGATCTTTAAGAAAATGATTGCAGATAATGCCTTCCCTAATCATTTCCTTAAGGGAGTGACTTGTGTGTGGTCTGCCTCGAATTCCTGCGTCACAGCCACCCTGCGTGTCTTCTAATGAGAGTTTTTTCCCCAAATTCCACATATGAAAAGAGTGTTTATTATTGGGTAAAACAAGAAATAAGCATGGAGGTGCAGAGAAAGGAGGAGGATGTCTCCCGCACAAACGTCACTGGCCTGACCTGCACCAAATTTGCTGGCTCATTAGACCCCCCCACCCCTGGCGGTCTGACCTGTGTGCTGCAGTGTCCTGCAGCTTGCTGGACCTCTCTGACCCCAGAGCTGGACTGAGGAGTTCATCTGGAGCAGCGAGCTGGCTGCTGTGCTTTCAGAAAGGGCTTTGCCAGCGCCTGAGGATTTGAAACCTTTTTGTTTTCTTTTGCATGACCTTCAGAATCTTCTTTTTTTAGAAAGAATAACATGGAAGTGGTCATTTTGGTTTACGATGGAAAAGGGCATACTTGCACCCAATGGTGGGCCTATTTTGGCAACCAGTCATTTTCCCCGGGTTTTGCTTAAGTGTGTGGCCCATAGTCTGGTAATCGGCATTTTTTCTTCTTACCTGTAAAAGATTACAGATACTGAGAGTTTTTTTTTACAAGGGCAGCTTTCATCTTGAAAACTACATAGAGGTTGCAGGTATGCGGCAAAATGCTGTCCCTTTTTTGGCTGGTGCTGTCTGTGCACCATGGGCCGCGCACAGCAGAGTTCTCCCCTCACTGTCCTTTACTATATAACTCTCAGATAAATCTTCAAGCCTCTTCGTTGTCAGCTTTTTCAGTTCAACTGCTGTGGCGTGGCGACGAGCCTAGCGAATGCGATAGATCCCGTTCTGCTGTAAATCTAGAGCTGAGTGATTGATTGCCAGCGCACCCAGCTCGCTAAACACATGGCACTGTCAGCTTGTGCTATTTTAGAGTGAGGAATGGCTGTTTATTTCCTGGAGAGAGATTTAGGAGCCTGGGTCAGGGGCCTCTCTTGCTTGTAGGAGCTGGTCCACATGGCATTTTCTCCCGCGCAATATGTGCGGTTTCCCCTGCTGCAGGCAGATGTTTCAATATTGACAATTCGGATTCCCTGACGTCACGGCTCAGCCGCCAGCCTGTCGTGCTTCCCTTTGAAGTGAGAAAGGCCTCCTCTGTTTGCATCGGGGAGGAATTTCTGTAGTTGGTGAAAGACAAATGGGGTGGGTGGGGGGGGGGCGGACGTGAGGTGGGGGCTTATTTTTGTCGGTGCCACCTGTGCCCAGTGCCACACTCGGCGCCGCAGACGGCTTGGCTGGCATGCGCCCTGCGCCACGGGAGAGCGCCGCAAGCAAACAAACAGAGCCGCGTGCGGCAGGGAGGAGGCAGTGGAAAACTTAATGGGACTGACAGGCCGGGCCAGGGTGTGTTTGTAGGTGCCTCCGCTCATCCGCCTGGCCTCTGCGGCTTATCTGCTTCCTAGGGACCAGTTTGACTTGGACAAAAAGTCACGGGAAAGGAAGGAAATTCCTTAGATTTCTGTATCACAATTGTGGAAAACTCTGCCTCCGAGAAATGTGTTGAAACGGCGTGATTGAGCGTAAAGCAAAACAGATACGGACCGCTGTGGCCCCGGAATCCAGTGACTGACCTGTGCCATGACGGGGTTAGTGCACCATGGCCATGGAGCTTGTAAACAGTCCCTGAAAAGGGTTGATTTTTGCTTATTTAATTTTGCCTGTTTTTTATCATTTCTCTTGCCTTCACTGTGCTGGTTTTGATCTCTCTGATCAGAAACACTCCCGACTGGGAGACCTCTGGTGTTGTGGGAATCTGACTCGGAGCTTGTAGATGCAAACGGAAGAGACCCTGTAGGAAACCGCAGTGCGTCCGTCCATCACATGTATGGCTGACCTCGTGCAAGAGCAGCACCATCCCTCTGTGAACCCGGCCACCACAGGCTCACATGGTGGGGGCAGATCTGGTAACAAGGAGTGGGGAAAAGGGGAAGGGAGGCAGTGCCCTTGTTTCTTTTGGAAATCTGGTTTGTAGGGAGAAATTTAGGCTTCTGTCAGACCCTGAATTTTCAATAAATTAGATTATACGGAACACCTCTAGTTTACCTGTTTTAGTTGAAACCATGTACATTATGTAACCTCGACATTTATTCAGGGGTGTCAGTCCGCATGTTGTCTTTTGTGGTTTTTGGTCTCATGGCATTCAGGAAGAGCACAGCATCTGACTGCACTCTCTGCTCCGCGTTGGTCCTGTTGGGGATTCTCCTCCCAGCACCCGGAGAGGTCCTTGGGCCCTGGCTGTATGCCTTGTAGCACCAGTGAGCCGAATACTCCCCTCCTCCTGCTGGTCAGGGACCTCTCTAGTGGTTGTGACTTCCTGTCTTGTGTTCAGGTGTTCAGAGTGGCCAGTGTGTGTCTGGGAAGCCCCCCGGAGAGCTTCTGCTGGGAATTCCGGGACAAGGAAAAGGCATTCCACCGGTTTGGGCCGCTCACCCCTCTGCAGTTCTACAGAGAGCACGTGAAGCCGCTCTATAACATCGAGGACAAGGTGAGGAGTCAACGTGCGCACACAGTGCTTCTGCAATCCTATAGGAATTTCCCACTGTTCTGGAACAGTCAGCTTTCGGAAACTTTGGGCTTCAAAGTAACCTCACTTGACTTCAGAGACAAGACTGTTACACCTTCTGAGTACTTTTCTCCTTTGCAGCAGTTCCTTGAATGTAGCCTTCTGTGTCCAGGTCATTGATCCTGCTGCTTCCTGTCAGGGCGACATTTATTTCTGTGCTGTGTACAGTAACACTTGGCGTTATAACACTATGGACAATCCCGCACTGCCCATAATGACTTAATGACTTAAATAATCAAACTGACTAAATTCCATCTGTTTCTGAAGAGGCACAACAGTGTTGCACTTTACTCAGGTGAATCTCTTTTGACTTGAGAACGAATTGGTATGGGTTTGACTGTCGGTGATGAAACGATACTGTAATTTGAGAGACGGGTGCATTGTCCAGGTCTACCACTCATTGTGTCCTCTCCGTTTGCTGTGCGCAGATCTGCCTGGTGCACGACCCCCGACCCCAGAACCCCCACAAGAAGCTGTACACCGTGGAGTTCCTGGGCAACATGGTGGGGGGCCGTAAGACGCTGTACAACAACCAGCCCATCGCAGTGCTCAAGAAGGCCGCCGCAGACTCCATCAAGGAAGGCGAGGTGAGGGCTCCACGCTCTTCCCGTCTCTTCCCTTCTTCCTTGGGACAAGGTCTCCTTCCCACAAGTCCTGGCAGGAGCTAGAAAAGTGGAGGTCAATTTCCCAGGCGTGTGGAAGTTTTTGAAAGCATAGATGCAGTCACCAAAAGGTATACCATGTAGGCCCAGCCTTTGAAAGCTGATTGTCTTTACTTTAGAAGGACTTGTGGGATCCCGAGTCTTGCGTCTGAGTGAAGCGGTTGTGTGCATGATCGTTTTCACCATGCGTCGCGCACTGGAGCCTTCAAGATGGCTCCGTCCGCTCGTGTGCTCCGAGCTTCTGGGTGAGCACAGATGAGGGTCCCTGCTGGGGGATGTGAAGACTCGGGAGACGGCAGTCTCAGCCTTGTGTCCCTTGGCATTCAGATGCATATTATCTCGTGAGAGTTTTTTATGATTTTCCAGTGAGTGAAAGGGGATGTTGTGGTCTGCTGTGATTTCTGACCGTGCTGCAGGCAGGCAGGCATGGAGAAAAGGTGGATTCGAGCTGGCGTTTCCCATTCTTCCAGGCCTTAGCTGTCCTGTCTAGGCCTGGAGTCTGTCCTGTGGAACCCCTCCCCCAGATCTTGTGTTTTAATTAAGCAACCATAAATACGTATTAACGTTTCATGGAGAAGCTGGTGTTGTCGCAGATTAAATGTGAAAGTAAGAGAAGATCCCCCCCCCCTCCTCTCCCTTCTTCCCACAAACCTTTGGCCTTTCGTGGCTGGACTCCCTTTCAAGCAGTTCCCCCTTCACACAAATGAAACTCTACACTTAGAAAAGGCAACATGAAAATACAAAGTAGTAAAACCTCAATATCTTAATAATGCAAATCTCACCGCTGTGTGAGAGTGTTGATTTTTCAATGGGGCGAAAAGTCTTCCTTTGTTTTTGAGCACCCCTTGGATAATCCCTTGATGACCCCCTCACCAGCGTTCCCTGCTCCGAGGAAAGGCTGCTTCATGCCGTTTTGTGGCTGTGCAGCCGCCCCAGCCCACTGTCCTCTGCCTGGTAGCTGTGTGTTTAACCCAAATGATTCTGGCACACAGTAGTGCCGAGTTTCTCTTCATCTTGGTTCTGATGGCTAAAATGCTGATAGAAAATGTATCCCCAAGGAGTGTGCGGCTCTATGCTTCTGCAGTAAGTATTTTGTGCAAGTTTTACAATTCATTTGACTTTGAAAAGGTGTCACTGGCTTCCGTCCTGCGGTAATTTGAGGGTTTTGTGTGAACAAGCTTCTCCACGTGGGGCCTCTCTCACAGACCTCGGCTGGCATTCTTCTGTTTGTTCTCTCCTGTCTAGGCAGTCTGGTTCGGCTGTGACGTGGGGAAGCACTTTCACGGCAAGCTAGGCATCAACGACATGAACGTGTGAGTGTGTGGGCATGCGTCGAGCCAGAGGGCTTCTCCTCCGTGCTGCAGCGTGCTAAAACGAGTGTCCCTGTGCTAAAACACTGATGCTGAGCATGTTCTCTGTTTTCTTTAGATGTAAGTGCTTTGAAAATTGAATATGGCATGTTAGTCCCCAAGTCTTCAGGCAGCATACTCAGATGAAACACAGACCGCTGCACAGCAGTACATTAGCCCTTCATCTGCTGGCAGATCAGGGTGGTGGAGACATGACATGTGTGTGTTGGGTTCTGTGTCCTGGCAGGTTCAACCACGAGCTGGTGTTCGGGATCTCTGTCAAGAACCTGTCAAAGGCGGAGCGGCTGATGTTCGGAGATTCCTTGATGACCCATGCCATGATTCTGACGGCTGTCACTGACAAGGTACAGTGTCTCTGCGCCGCGCCGCCCCACCAGCAGGAAATACATTCACTTCTATAGGAGAACTCCCATCAACACCTTGAATAGGTTTGCTGAAAGCCACAGAAAAGCTCACTGGCTCTGCCGAAAAGCCAGTTTTCATTTTCTCTTGAACACCTCAGTTGCCTTAAATTAGGAAGACAGCAGTCCAAGGTTCTGGGTGTTGACTGATCAGCATGAGAGTTCATGAGTGATCTGTGTTTGTGTGGTACGTCAGTCAAGTTCCTGATTTAAAGAGGATGGCCTCGGCCTGAAATGAAGGTGTAAGCATTAAGGACATTCCTCTCAAGGCCGTTCAGTGAGAGATATGGAGCAGCCTGGACTTTCAGCCACTGTGATCACAGCAACGGTGGGCTGAATCCTAGGGTGTGACGGTCTAGAGAAGTCTCTGGTAAACGAGTTGCAGGTGGTCACATGTGCCTCCTACTGGCATCCATCATGGGGGCTGCCGGCACCCGTGGTCTGAGCTAGAGGAGGGGCCTGTCTGCTGCGGTCTGGTCACATCCCTGTTTCTTGCGTCACAGGCGTGACACATGTTTATAGTGCTTAATTACCAGTAGTTGTTGAAATTACTGTCAATTTCCCCCTAAGTGACCCCAGCTGCCCACATCCTGTGAGCGACATTCCAAAGCATTTGATGCAGCTGGACTCCGCAGTCCCACGTGCAGCCTGCCCTCCCCCCCCCCCTTACCGCCTTGCTCTCTGGAAACATCACAGCTGGGGTGCCACCTTCCCAGCAGGCTCTCCCTTTCCTGGAAGGTCCTCGGAGACTGTTCTCTTGAGGGTGAAGTTCGTTCCTGCTGTGGGTGTCTAGGGTTCTCCAGCCCATGGCCCCTTTATCTAGAGCGTTTGAGCCTTTCCTCTGCTAGTGTGCCCTGTGGGTTTGCTAGCCGTTCTCTTCAAGGTGCACCCGGAGCAGGTGTGGTGCCCGGCAGCCTCCTGCAGGTGGCCCCAGCGGGGCCTGGGGACGAGGAGTGAAAGACGAGGCCGGCCAGCGGGGGTTTCTCAGTCGGGTGGCCGACACCAGTGCGGTCTGGGTGGCTGTAGGAGAGCTGGGTTCTGCTGGTCTGACATCTCCTCTCGCTTCCCACAGGAGGGCAAGGAGCAGCAATATGAGAAGTGGAGGGTGGAGAACTCCTGGGGAGACGACCGAGGGAATAAAGGTAGGCAGCTCGGCTCAGGCCCACTCGAGTGTGTGGCTGGTTAGTGTGAGGCCGTGTCCCAAATAATAATAATAATAATTGCTTACGCTTATAGAGCGCTTTTCTGGACACTCCACTCAAAGTGCTTTACAGGTAATGGGGATCCCCTCCACCACCACCAGTCTGCAGCCCCACCTGGATGATGCAACGGCAGCCATAGTGCACCAGTACGCTCAACACACAGCAGCTCTCAGTGGGGAGGAAAGCAGAGTGATGAAGCCAGTTCAGACATGGGGATTATAAGGAGGCCATGATTGGTAAGGGCCAATGGGAAATTTGGCCAGGACACCGGGGTTACACCCCAACTCTTTTCAGAAACGCCCTGGGATTTTTAATGACCACTGAGGGTCAGGACCTCGGTTTTACGTCTCATCCGAAGGACGGCGCCTGTTTACAGTACAGTGAACCCCGTCACTATACTGGGGCATTTGGACCCACATGGACCGCAGGGTGAGCGCCCCCTACTGACCCCACTAACACCGCTTGCAGCAGCAACCTTAGTTTTCCCCAGGAGTCTCCCATCCAGGTACTGACCAGGCTCACACCTGCTGAGCTTCAGTGGGCTGCCAGTGGTGAGTTGCAGAGTGATTATGGCTGCTGGCCAATCCCACAATCCCACCTGGGGTCGTGTCCCAGTAGGCACACTTGCGGTCTTGCGTCCTTTATATGCGCGTTCTTGCCGTCCAAATCTCAGACTGAGCCCTAAGCTCTTCCTCCGAGTCTGCACTTCTGTGACGCAGAGCAAGTGTGAGTTTCAAGTGCGTGAGGATTCGAGGAGCACCGGTAAAAACAGGGCAGGGGGACCCCCTCACCGTGACAGCACCCGCTGGCCACACAGCCCAGGGTCAACAGAATACTCGCAGTGTGAATCTAAAGTAGCCAAATGAAATTGTTTTTCCATACAATATTATGGGTTTTAAGACTGTAAAAATTAAATTTGACTCACACACGGATATTTTATACTCCACGGCAACTTCTCTCCTTCTCGATAGGCTAGACCATGAAACGTCACCATTCAGTGAGGAATTGGGGGCGATTCCATTTGGTGCTGTCCGCTCCAATGTGGACTTCAGAGAAGGGCGCAATGGGGGCACCTTGTGAGACATATTTAGAAATGGGGCACCCTGAGCCCTTGCAGACTTGAGCAGGAACGGCAACATGAAGGACACAGGACCGCAAGGGTGCCTATTGGGACATGACTCCAGGTGGGATTGTGGGATTAGGGACAGCTCCTGTGGCCCCATGTGTGAAGTCTGTAGGACTGGTTGTAGTCTTCTGCTAGTTGTCTGTTGTAGGCACAGTTTGCCACTTGCTCTGCCCTGCACTCTTGTCTTTTACAACAGCATTCCCTGTCTAACGAGCGCAGCTGGGACTGATGTGGTTTTGTAATTGATGGCTCCTCACAGATGGTTTTTTTTCCCAGACTCCCAGGCTCCAGCCAGGCAGCACACAGTTTTCCACTACAGAAAGGTCCTTTGTGGTGTTTTTTAGTGCTGAAAAAAAGAGGGTAATGTTGGTTTCAAAGCCATTTTTTCCCCCAAACCTGTGACTCTGGCACTGTGCAGCAGGATCAGAAACAGTGTCACGTGCTTGTTGGTGATCGGTGTTTCAGGCTTGGGGATGTATTAATAATTGTGCACAAGCTTCAGCTGTCTGATGGAGTCAGTATGACCTGGCGTGATGGCACAGGTGAAATGCCCAGGACGGCCACTTGAAGGTGCGGGTGAAATTCCCCCAGCTGCCTGCACAGGCTTGCACTGTGGTGGTTGGTGCAGCCTGGAGCCTGTGGAGAAGAGACAGCTCCTGCCCTGTTTTGCACCCTCCTACATGTGGGCTGTAATTAGCCTACTAATTCCTGTCCTGGCTAGAGCCACTGGAGAGCATGGGGCAGCAGCAGGAGCAGGGGGCCGGCAGATTTCTTGGAAACCCGTGTGGCTGCATTCCTCCGCAGATTAAACTCGTAATCTCCAACCTCTTAAAGCTCCATCTCGTTCCGCGGCTTGAGAACTGAGCTCCGCTCATCAGCCCGGGCAGTGCCCTGCTTTTCAGTCTGAGCTGGCTTCTCTTCAGTGTGTGCGTTGGTGGCAGCGAAACGGGAGACTTCACAATGTCAAACGGCCTCAGAATTATTGACAGATCAATAGTTAATAGGGATCATCCTAATCACATCTGAACCACATCCTTAATTAATCTGTGCATTAGAGATGAAAATCTCCATTTTAAATGCAACCCAAGTCGCAGGACTTACACAGCATAGGGTCTTGTTAAAAAACGGAGTTAGGCTTCACTGTCAAGATTGTATTTCTTAATGGAAGTATTTTTAGATTTTCTGGAATGACTCTTAAAGGTTGATATTGTTTTAATAAATTGAAGTCTGTCATGTAGCTGTAATCGCTTACCTTTTGAGCACAGTGCTCTGATACCAAGCTTGTATATAGAAGCTACCTTAAAAGCCCTTTCTAAAGGCATGGGCTGCACCAGCTGGCCGGAGGCAGCTGCCCACAGGGCACAGATGGCGCTACGTGTTAGAGGGCAGGAGGAGCAGAGTGGCAGTGAGTCTGGGTCCAGGCTGCTGTTGAAAGGGGTCCCTAGCAAGTCTGGAGTGCAGGTACTGGGAATCGAACCGACCCCGTTAAACCAAACGCGTAAAAAAATGCGCACGTTTGGTTTGATAGCTCTAAACATAACATTCCGCGTAGGAATGGCCAGCGTGAAGCCCGTTTCCACAACAGGGGGCCGGATGTGTCCAAGCTGCTGGCATTAGAGAGGCTGTTTGGGAAGGGGTGGGGGGCTGAGGTTACCTCCAGGACAGCAGGAACACTGGAACATTCCTGCCTCTGCTTACAAAGGTTCTGATTTAAACTTGCTTTTGAGTACGGGTTGTGTGACGTTTGCTGTCGTTTTTGAGTCCGTCTTGATTGTAAAACATTGCTACAAGTTGCACCCTATATGCAATACAACTTACTTCTTCTTTTAGTTTGAAGTAGTACTAGGACACAAGTAAGATCTTTGTGGCTCCAATGGACATGTATTCCAGTCCTTGCCTTCATGACCAGAGCATTTGGGGAAACGCAGGCTGCGCGGCACAGGAGTGTTGAGAAGAAATGAAAAGAAGAGCAGCCGTTAAGAGGGCCGATTTGTTTGACAAGCGATGTGGGAATAGCTGTAAAGTTTTCCCCAAGACGGAATGTATGTGCCAGCCTATTTCTGTGCCCTTTTTCCCCCCTCTGGTTTGCTTAAATCCTGGGTTCGGTGGCAGGAGAAGGAAAGGCTCCGGATGACTCCTGTGCCGCCCCTGGTCCATGGCAGCTGGGCAGGAGTAAGCGATGCCGTAGTTCTCGCCAGCTCGCTTGCACTGCCGCCAGTTCTGCCAGACGTGTGGTACAGTGCACCTCTCTGGCTGAACCCTCTACACTTACACTCGGGACATGTGGTGCGTGCATATCACACACACATGTTGTGCACATTAATTTATAGATCCTGTAAATAAAGCGCTTTTACAGGCTGTTCTCAGGCAAAGCTCTTCACTATTTAACCTTTCAGTTCCAGAGTGATCTCTGAAAGAATAAAACACTCTTTCCTCACCATGGTGTTACCATGATGTTGCAGGCCTACAAGCTCTTTCAAATAATATGAACCTTTAATTTAAAAAAAATGAATCATTATTCCATTAATTTGAAACTTTTTTGGACTTTGAAAAGCCGAGATAAGTCATCTGCCTAAAGCCATGTAAAACTAATAAAGTGGTCTTCTCTGTACAATGTTCCAGCTAGATCACGGAACACCAGATTTTGTACAGATGTGCGTTACATAAAGCAGACTTAAGGAAACCAGACCCAGTGAAAATAAGAGAATAGGGAATCTCTGAAAATCAGAAAGTGAGTTCTTTCAGATGTGATCTGGTTTCTACCACAGCCTTGCTCTCTCACTGGCCAAACCATTAGGACCCCGCAGCAGATACTGTACTGGGATTCTGTAACCAGCTGGCTGTGGACGGTGTTCTGCAGGGCTGTGAAAGTCCAGTCTCAGCCCTGATCTCCTTCATTTAATCCTGCAATGAGGGCTCATGAAGTGTGGAGCCCTGGCTCGGGAGACTGGTGCTCACTCCAGCCACACATGGCTGGTGACCGAGAGAGCCCGTTCCCTGAGCTGGGGATTTCTTATCTCGTAGCCCGTCAGTGTGTTTATTCACATCAATCTCAAATACACATTAGACAATTATTTCAACAGAATGGTTTAACATACAATGCACTGTATATAGCAAGAAGCATATTGATTGTCACCTGAACATGAACAAGAGACTTACTGGGTTATTTGCACGTCTTTATTGTTTTGGATAAGAAATGGGTGTTCTGGCAGCAGAGAATTGCTTTTGTCGACAGGAGCTGGTGCCTGATCGCAGGGCTGTCTGGCGCAGGGGTGCTGACAGCCTCACGAGGGGCTGGGAGTGTCCTTTCCCAGTGGAACAATGGCCGGAGGGAGAGCAGCCAGCGGCAGGGTGGCACTGTGGTGCGTGAGGCCTGCCCGGGCATGACCTCTGGGGCACGGGGGGCTGCCAGAGGGCATCGGGTCCCTGCCTCACCCGCGGCTCGCCAATCCAACACGCAAACCCCCACAGGGCCCTTTTTTAACGTGTTGAATTGAGTCCTGCAATTTCAAAGAGAACGAGAACAGATCTGTAAAAATTGCTGATTGACGAATGGTTCTGCGTTGAGCATGATTGACATATCACGTTGAAAGCTGGACAAAAATAATAATGCCTTAATTCAGAGCATGGTTATGATTGCAGTTGAAAGCAGAAGAAAAAGAATAAGCTGAATTGTATCTTGCATGATATCTGCCATTCTGAGTTACACTGCTATGCAGAGAAGAACCTTACCAAGCCTCTTTGACCCCCAAAAGGCCTTTTTTGGCCCAGTCAAGCAGCCTGGGTCTAAGCTTTTGTGCACCAAGCTAGAAACATCAGGAGACGCTGTGAGATCCTTAATCGCCTTACTGTCCTGGGTCTGGCCTGCAAAAACAACTTTTCATCCGGGTGCGTTTTCTGTTCCTCTGTTGCTGCCAGTCGCCTTTGATCTTGAGCAGGGATGGCACAGAGCAGGCAGCAGGCTTGGCGCAGCGGGAAGCAGGCCTGTAGCACTCTTGGGCTCGGTGTGTTGCTTCCATGCTCTCACTTGCTCTGGGGGGGGGGCGGGCAACGTCGGCTCTTCTTGCAAAGAACCACTCCCCCCAGTACCTCCGTCTTCTCATTGTGTTTGGGCCCATTCTGGGAGAAGACTGAAGAGTGGGTAAGGCCTAGGCTACAGTTTATCTGACCACACGGAGCCAAGCATGTGTTTATTTTATTTGTATTTATTTCAAGGAATAGCACAACCCAGCAGAGTAGAAACATATTTGCACAAATGACAGGAGCCATGTATATAACACCTCATTTTCCCTTCGGGATCAATAAAGTCTTTATCTATCTTTACTCGAGCTTAATACCAATACCAGCATCAGCTCTGGGATGAAGATCTGTAGAGGCCATTGCTCTTAATTTGAGGCTGCATTCTGCTATACTGGCATCCTGGTGTTGAGGGTTTTCTCTTTCTGTGTGGTCGGGCTCGGACGCGTCGCCTCTCACCTCCGGCTCCCCGGCCCTGTGTCTCCAGGGTACCTGATCATGACGGACGAGTGGTTCTCGGAGTACGTCTACGAGGTCGTCGTGGACAAGAAGTTCATTGCCTCCGACGTCCTGGAAGTGATGAAGCAGGAACCAGTGGTCCTTCCGGCGTGGGATCCCATGGGAGCCCTAGCCTAACCATGGAAACGGAGGGGCATAAACCCTGCCCCCTCGCCTCTCCCCACCTGGCCCTCTGCTCCCTGCTGTTGCCCCGTTAGACTCCAGACAGCCGGGTCCAGATGAATAAAGGAAGAGTTTTTTTTACTGGTCTCAGTGGCTGCGTGTGGATTATTTCAGTGGTTTGACTTATTTGACACAGGAAGAGCACTACCTGTACACCCAGAAGTACTCCTGGGGGGGGTGGAGCAGCACACAGAGCTGTCTATCAGTTTAATGGCAGTTGTATTTCTTTGATGCAGCTATTTTTGCGAAATGGAGACTTTGTACACGATTGCCACCATTCTTTAAGAAAAAGGTCACCCGCTGAAAAAGGCCCAAGCAGACTCACTTGTACCCTTCTCTCTGGTGGGTGGATTCCCATGTGATGACTGAAAATAAATTCCCTGCCAACTTAATGCAGTGCCAATCAGTGGGCAAAACCCCTGCCATAGGAGCTGTTATCAGCCCTTTACCACTGAGGCAAGAGCTTATCTGAACACACAGAGCCAGGCATGTGTTTATTTTATTTGTATTTATTTTAAAGTGAGCAGTTTTAATCGGAAGCAAGTTATATCTTGGTGTCTGAATCTTAGCCCAAGGAGACTGGGCGCTGGGCCTGGGTGGGTGGGTTAGAGTCACAGTGGGTTAACAAAACAAGGTTGCAGGGATTGGCCAAGTTTCTTTCCGTAACTTGGGAATGAAAAGCAGGATGCTTCTTTCTCCAGCAGATGGTCACACCCCTCCTTCGGGAGCCATTAACACCAGAACCTTTTAAGTGGCTTGTGTTGGACCTGAACTTTGAAGGGCTGCTACCTCACTGCAAACCCACCTGGAGGGCTTTCAGACCCACAGCTCACTCGAGCGTGCAGGCCAGCCTTTTGATCCCACTTCCAACCTTCAAAACATTCTTTTTCAGATCGGATCCCAGCAGCAGGAATGCATCTATCAGCCTGTGCTGTTATCCTAACCAGGGGTGAAGCAGTGTGCTGTGATAGTAACGGCACCTATGGGCTCTTGCTCATTTCTGTCCTGCCAGTGTGAGAAGATGTTGATAACGGACAAGAGTCTTTAATTTTTGCGATGTCTGTGCACTGTACACAGTATGCACACGTCACTATGCTACCAACAGCATGTGGCTCTTGAACAGCCTGAATAGATGTTCTTCTGTGATTCAGGTCTTTTTAAAAAAGTGATGTTTATGCTATAATGCAGCCCTGGATGCTCCAATCTAGATGCCAAGTGAGCTGTTGCTGGTGCAGAACAGCGGTCACTCAGTCACTCAGCTGGCTGTTGCACGTTGCTGGGCACTGAGTGGGTTACCACTTGTCGGTCAAGCTCTTGGCGCTCTATGGAGTGAAACGGCTGGTCATATTGAGGCTGGTCGGGTCATTTGCAATTCACCGAGCATGGTGGGAAGATCCTTCTGATGTACATTTTTGACAGGTCTCTGCTTATTGGTTGCCATTAAGCTGATAGATGAGCACCGAGACTAAGAGAAACACTTGTGTCTGTTTTGCACGAGTGAGAGCTGCAGTTGTGAGGTCCAGGATTGAGTTTCCTCCCCTGTGTGTCTTTCAAGCTTGTCCTGATAAAAGATCGGAGAGCAATAGCTTTGAGTTCCCTTTTTAAATTCTCAACTCGTTTCGTCTTCTGTATTCTGTTGTTCGAACTGACCAACAGGACCCGGATTTGAGTGTGGCTGCTCTGAGGCTGAGCCTCAGAGGGTGGGGGGGAGTCTCGTTATAACACTCGTTTCTTTTGCCCTGCAGACAGCTTTGGTTCGTTCCCAGAATCTGAGGCAAGAGTTTGTTTGACATCCTTTGATGTTGAAGGCCACAATTAATTTAAGACAGGCCCCTTCGACATGTGCCAAAAGCGAGAGGGACAGGGTTTGTACGAATGAACTGTTTATCCATTCCTGTTTGTTACTGTAGGTTTCTTTTGGTAGCAAGAAGCCTTGCTGTTGGTCAGTCAGGGGGACACTCGGGTGCTGTTCCTGCTCCCTGGCTGTTACTGCTCAACGAAACAGATGCTTCCAGTGCAGTAAAACACGAAAATCGTAAAGCGAACAAAAGGCAGGAATGTCAGTTCTGTGTCCAACAAAAGGAACGCAGGGTAAATCTGTCCACTTTTCACAAGTGGGTGATGTTAACTCTCCTTTGGGAGGGAGGGGGAGGCTGATTAGTCCTGGAGGGTCATGGGACTTGCAGAGCAGGATGGGATTGCTGCTGTTGCTGTTCCAGAGCCAATCCATCACTCTGACTCACTCTGAGAGGTGCAGGGCAGGAGGAAACTGGAGCCCCCTGTCGAAAACATGTCCTGTTGTTCTGGAGCCGGAACCAAAACGGGGGCCATGGGCAGGGAACAGGCACTGCCGCCCTGGCCACGCAGACAAGCTGGACTCCTGGGGTCAGACAGTCCCAGTTTTCCGTGAGGAGGAACGTTGTGATAACAAGCGGAATTCGAGAATCCGGAGTGGCTGCCCTGCAGGTGAAGGCAGGGAAGGAGCAAAGCTTCAGACCCAAAATGCATATCCAAGGATCCTCTCCAGCGCCCAATACTGGGAACGCCCGTGTGGACCAGCATGGCTGTGTGTTTTCTGTAATCCTCTGCACAGGGAATCCTGAACATCTCTACATCTGCCGGAGGTCTGAAACACTCGGACGCACAGCGGCGTTCGGCTCGCATCCTGGGCCTTCCTGTTTGGAAGTGGGGAGCTGGGCGCCCCTCTCAGTTGAGCCCAGTTGCCAGGGGGATGCAGTAACACGCCACAGAGAGCCACTCCCTGCGTCAGCTCACAGGCACGGGAGAATGTGCTTTCATCTCCGGCAGCGCCAGGAGGACATGAGCGGCTCCAGACGTGGCTTAAAATTAGGAAACTCTGTCTTCCATCAGGAGTCTAAGGCCTCCCTCTTCCTCCAGCTGCGGCCTCTTGCGCTGCTTTTCTTGAACCCAAATGTAATTTATTTGTCTCCCTAAAAGATTTTGAAAAGCTGCTGATTAGATCATCCTGATCTGCGTCTTCTGTTCTTCTGCCCTGGCCTCGTCCCTCATGGCTTTTAGCCTGGGGGTATCTGTCATTCTGCCCCGCCCACGGCCACCCGTGGGGCCTGGACTCTTCCCCCACAGCTGCGGTGCAGCCCTGGGTCCTCAGACCCGAGCTGCCTCTCTGTCGGCTTCTTTATAAATGAACGCACGAGAGAGAAAACGTTTGCCGTTTCACGTTTCAGCAGCTGAGCTGCGCGTTCTGCCCCTCTGGAAGAAGAAACTGCTGCTTTCCACTATCAGCTTCAGTCTTCCTAAAGAAAGGCCGGCGACTGGGATTGAACTTTTCAGTGTTTTAAAAAAGTTGCTTTCATTGCAGTTTTGTTTGTTTAATGATAGTTTAAGAGCAGATAAGCCTGTTATCAGTGCTGCCGCCTTTGCACACAAGATTAACTTCATTCCGGAACAGACACACAGAGCAGGACTCGGTCACCACTTCCTTGCTATAATATATGGACGTGTGACTGGCTCACAGGGCAAGGTCAGCTGTGGCGCACAGATTCTCAAAATAACCCAGATCCCCCAGATTTGGTATGAGAAACGGGGAGCCCAGCGTCGTGCTGGGGCCAGTGTCAGAGGGGTCTGCAGGCCCGCTCCAGTGCAGAGGCCCCGAGAGCAGATCTGCTCTGTCCTCTGGCAGGTCTGGACTGCAGTGTGCAGGTCTGCGCAGATCGGCGCAGGTTCGCTCCATTCCGCCTCTTATCCGAGGAACCGGCTGTTTTTGGAGATAGGAAGGAACTTTGGAAAAGGAGAAAAAAGTGCATGAGCATGATTTCAGATTTCCTGTTTTTTTTCTGTTTTAGTTCCCCTGTTCGGGCCAAAATTACCTGACATAAGTCTGTTATGACATCAGACATTTTATTTTTGTACTATTTGTAGCGGTTGTTGTAGAGGTCATGTTAATTGCCACAGAGGGTCAGTTACTGAATCAAGTGCTTTTCAGATCTCCTCGAGAAACGGACAGTGTTCTGCCCAGCCCCAGTTGTCTCTCGCGCTGCCATTGACTATACTTTTCTACTGGCAACACAAACGGCCTCGGGATCGAGCCGCCTGGCCAGATAGTGAGGCACAGAAACTCAGTCCGACTGGCAGGCGGCCGCCCTGTGGGTGAAATCAGCGTCCCCACACAGCCCTGCCGCGCTGCCAGCGGGGCTGAGTGCCCGCCACCAGAGTTCCTCCATTCTTGCTCTCACGAGGCTCCTGAAAGGGGTCCGCTGCGCGCAGGAATCTCAACAGCAGTTCAGAGCACAAAAGCAGAGCCACACAAAGCGGGATCTCGGAAAATAAAATAAACAGCGCTTTCTTTTCAAAAGGAGAAACTCCAGCATTAGGGCCTCTCTGAATGGGACCTCAGCGGGCTGCTTTGTGCTCGTTTTTTTTTTCTGTTTTCTTGGACAAGCTGGTCTGAATCAGATTAAGGCCCAGGCTAAGAGCGGGCAGCGAATCGGTGAGAAAAGCCCACAGAACAAAGCCCCAGCGCCTCTCGTCCTGGCGCCCCGGGGGCTCGTGTGTGTCCTGCGGGCCGCTTCCCACCTCAGAAACGGGCGCTGCTGGGGGAGTGGCGGTCAGGAAGTCGACAGCGTGACAGAGGAACGTTAAACCGGCCAGCAGCGCACGGCAAGCCCTGACACGCTCATGGGCCGGGCTGGCAGGGCCCTGTGTACAATGTGACCTGCAGGGGAGTCTTGTTCCAGCCTGTCGCTATGCTGCCCGCAACCAACCAGCCAGCCTGTCGCTATGCTGTCCGCAACCAACCAACCGATCAACCAATCAATCAATCAATAGCTTCAGGAACTTCTGAGGTGAATGAAAGGCGGTGGGACTGATGGGAAGGCTCCCGCTGGGTTGCAACTACAAGAGGAACATTTTTGCTATCGTTCACCCCCCGTCTGCCCCCCTGCGCCGGCCGTGTCGCGTCCCGGGTGGTGAGCAGGACCCTTCAGGCTACGTGCGGACGAGATGGACCGTGACACCTGCTGGGGGAGTGAGACACAGGTAGGTCTTGCTTTCTTGCTCTGGCTGTTGGACTCGTGGTTACCGGTGGTTACGAGTGGCCCTGATCTGGAGTCCTGCGGGACGCCCCGGCCACAGCCCCGTCCCTCTTCGCTCCCAGCGAGCTGGCAGAGTGAGGGTGTGGCACTGAGCCCGAAGCCGCTGACCCGGCGAGCCTCTTGGCTCTTCTGTGACACAGGGGCGGGGCTCTCACAGACGCCAGCCCTGGCGAGTCTGGATCTGGAGTGCTGCTCGTACTCTCGGGGCCCCTCTCTGGACAGAGCCTTGATGGGGCTCTTCGCACCCCACGGGACGCAGGTGGACTGACACCCTGGGCCCGCCGGACCCGCAGGCTGTCTGAGTCTACCGTCCGGACGCAGGTGGACCGACACCCTGGGCCCGCAGCAGCCTCTCTTGAAGTGTCTCGGCTGGGTTCCACTCTCTCATGGAAGTACAGATCGTAACGAGGCTCTGACTGAAGACCTGGGTGACAGAGAACGAGACGGGGGAGAGGGGAAGATTTCTAACACAGGACCGCTTACGCTTACGCAACAGTCAGCCAACATCACTGCTGTGTCCCACTCTGGAATTTCTCACGGGAACAGGGAGAAGTGTCTCGGAGTCTGCCTGTGGATTTCTGTGTCCGTCCAGCATGGCTCCCTGTGAGCACCTGTACAGTCACGGGCCTCGCCCCCAGGTGCCGCCCAGCTCCTGCCCCCACGGCACGCTCCTCCGGGTGCACACGCATTCATCACCCCGCTGGCGTCCCGACCAGAGTCCAGCTCCTAACTTCTTCATCCAACTCGGGGTCGCGGTGGAGCCAGAGCCCTTCCCAGCAAGCAACGGGCGCAAGGCGGGGTACACCCTGGACGGGACGCCAGTCCATCGCAGGGCGAGCTCCCACATTCCTCGCGGAAAACGTTCCGCCGCGTTCCGCTACGAAGAGATCGCGGCCGGTTCACCTCCCTCTCAGGAAAGGGGGATGATGGGATACCAGGACACAGGCCCTGCCATCTGCCGTCTGCCTCCCACCACCCACCAACCCACACACCCACACACCCACACACACACACGTATTCGGCACCTTCCTGTAAACAGAGTCCTGCCCCAGGGCGGCTGGGGACTGTGTCAGTGATACCTCGGTCCTGAAGCCGCTTGGCCCCACCAGGGAAGAAAACTACAGCACCGAGTGACTATCAGTACTGAGGTACTGCTCCGTGGGCTTTCTTTCACGGATTTACCGTGGTTCGGAAACAGTACCTCTTAATCCGGATCACAGCTGCGCTCGGGCTGTTGGACGGAGGGACTGCCCCTGGTTTCGAAGTGGATGCTGGGCGAGTGTTGTCCCTCTGACGGCGGGGAGGGGACAGTCCCAGCCCGCGGGTCCGGGACAGACGAGCGGAGAGGGAGACGCGCTGGAGGTGAAGCGCGGGCTGGCGCGGCCGGGCTCAGAAGTGTGGAGATTAGACAGCAGCGGCTCGGGTTAATCTTCAAAGCGGACAGGCCGGGACCGCGGCCAGGGCAGCATCGCCGGACTGCGGGACGGCGGGTCTCTCGGGCAGGTACACCGCAAGGCCGGGCCGCGGTCGGGGGAGAGGAGGGGGGCGTGTTGTGCAGCAAGTTCTGTTGTGTTTTTTTTTTTCCGGGGGAGTTCCGGGGGTGGCAAGGCACCTCTCTCTCTCTCTCTCTGCTTGAGACTGGGAGACGGTCGGTGCGGCGGGGGGTCAGTCGAGTGCGGGACACGCCAGGATCAGCGCCGGGCTGGTGCCCCGCCGGCCGGCCCGTGGCGCGGGGTCAGTTTTCCTCTGGGGTCACACGGGGCAGTTAAATATGGTCTCCGAGTCTGTGCGCCACAGTCTCCCAACACGCGTCAAAGTCCCCAAAGTGACTTTTTAAAACGAACAACTCGGAGCAGTGTAGTCTTAATTGAGAAAAAATACGGTTACAACGCTGTCGAAAGCTAATATCGCGAGCGCGAACGGCTGAAAATCTTCCCTTCCCGCTTGACGTGAATTGTCGAAGTAATTTTAATAATTTTACGCAGGTTGGTTTCATAAATTGTATTGGAGATAAATAACCGTTCCGTCAGAATTGTATAAAGTCTATTTTGTCAAAAAAAATGCAGCAGTACAAGATTGAATCTATGAAGTTTGCAGGCTAGTGGAGGGCTACGTCGTGTGTCACCCTCGGGCGGTCCGGCAGAGGGCGCCCGCACACCGCGCTGCGCTGGGTTCAGCCGCCTGTCCGGAGAGGTTTCCTGTGCGCGTCGAGTCCAGCGGCAGCCCGGCCATGGAAAGACCCGACAGCTGCCCGGTCCCCGCAGTGACCTGGCCGCGGGGTTGGGATGGGGACTGCGCGCGGCACGGTGGCCGACTGTCCCAGATTTCCCGGGACTTTTCTCCCCTGCCCGTCAGGTGCGCGAGCCGCCCTCGCCCCTGCTCGTGCCGAGTGACATTTTGGGCATCACGACGCCCCCCCC